CGCAGTTGGTTGGATCCAGCCCGTCGTACCCGACCGCCAGCCCCAGGATCTGCAGCAGCATCCGGTGCTCCCAGGCGACGGCGCTCTCCGCGTGCACCCCGGACTCTCGGACCCAGTGCACGTGGTACGTCGCCGTCGAGAGCCCAAGTGCGTGGATGCCCTGGAGCAGCTCGACGACCGCGCGTGGCCCCGGGTGGGGCCACGACGGCATCTTGGTGAGCTCGGCGGGCCTGAAGTTCTGCATGGCCAGGCCGAGCGGCTGGGCACCGGCAGCAGCGTCGTGCGACGCCGAGGACGCCAGCCGAGGGTCCCGGCCCGCGCCTGAGTGCTTGTCCACCAGCCACGCGCCCACCTCGCTGTTCGGCACGAGCTCGACGGCCAGCCAGCGCCCCGGCTGGCCCACCAGCGCCAGCCCGACTGAACCTCGCTTCACCCCCGTCGCCGCACCCTCGACGACGTCGGCCGCCACCTCCTCGCCGAACTCGACCGCTGAGGTGTCGGCCACGCGCCAGCTGGTCTGGGGCATGGTGCCCCCAGTCGGGGCCGCACCTCCAGTCAGCACGGCCGCCAACCGCGCCGCCTGTGCGTGCAGCGACGCCAGTCGCTCGGGCAACGTAGGGTCGCACATCCTGACGTCCCCGGCCTGGGCGTCCCCGACGCGGGCACCCGGGGCCAGCGTCACCAGCGTCCGCCCTGCCAAGTCGACGCTCTCGATCCCCTCGTCCGGGAAGCACGCGACCCACACGGCCTCGCGCAGCCGCCGCAGCAGCACCAGGTGGTGCCACGTGTGCGTCGCGTGCGCGTCGTCCCGCAGCAGGATCTGCGGCTCCTCGACCGCGAGCGCCCGCTCTGCACCGCCGAAGCCTGCCATGGCCATCCTCAGCGCCGAACCTCACTCGCGGCGAGCGCTGCCAGCACGGCGGGCGTCGCCGCCGCCGCCGGGGCGTCCCGCCGGGCCGGCGGAGAGGACGGCTTCGCAGCCGCGCGGCCGCCCCCGGCTCCACAGCACCCGGCCGCCAACAGCGCGAGGCAGCTGGACGCAACGCCCAGCACCAGGCCCGCGCAGGCGAGCGCGACGCAGGCGAGGCGGTACCACTCCAGGTCCCCGCGCGCCTGCAGGAGCTCGCGCAGCTCCTCGTCGCACGAGCAGGCCAGCTCGTGCGACGGCGCCGGTGGCTCCACCGGCGGCGCCACAGGCGCGATGGGCCAGACAGATTGCAGCAACCAGGCGGTCGCGGCCACAAAGGCGGTGGCCCAGGGGAGCTGGTCGGAGTGCATTGGCATGAACCACAACGCCTTCGGAACCAACCCCTCCCACTGCAGATAAGACGCGTACAACTGGCAATTCAACAACACCACCAACAACCACAACAACAACAACAGCAACAACAACAACAACAGCAACAACAACAACAACAAACAATGAACAACAAACAACACACAACACACAACACACAACAAACAACAAACAACAAACAACACACAACACACAACACACAACACACAACACACAACAAACAACAAACAACACACAACAAACAACAAACAACAAACAACAAACAACAAACAACAAACAACAAATAACAAATAACAACAACAACAACAACAACAACAACAACAACCACAACAACAACAACAACAAACATCAACAACAACGAAAATCCGCACCGCGGAATTCCACTTCAGCCACGCACCCAGGGACAGTGAATGACCGTTCGGCCCCCTCACTCTGATATATATATGTGTGTGTTTTTGTATGCATACATATGTGTACACAGATTCGTGTATGTATATAGGTGTATACGAATTTATATGTACACATTTGTGTACGTAAATATGTCTACGTCATTGTGGAAACCTTATGGAGCGTTTTGAAAGCCTGTTTGGCCGCCTTGAAGCCATCCTGGGCCCTCTTTGAGCACTCGCGGGCAGTCTTGTGGCCCCCTTAGGCCTCCCTAGGGCCGTCGTGGCTGTAGCGTGGGCGCCTTTGGAGCCGTCTTGGGCCGTCTCAAGGCCCTCTGATGCGCTTTTCGGGCTGACTTGGGCCGTCTAGGGCCGAACACAGCCGAATTGTTTGCCTTTGGGCCGTCTTTGGGACCTCGTGTGCCGTTTTGTGGTGACCCTGGGGGCGTCGCTCGCAGATGTGGGCCCTGTGAAAACCAAGGTAGCATGGATGCTCAACATATATGTTTCCCAACTGTAATGGGGCGAAGTTGGACTTCGGGGCGCCCTTTTCAAGGTCTCCCAGGACGTCAGGATGGCCTCTTTGGCCGTCTTGAGGCCATCATGAACCCTCTCTGAGCGTTCGCGGGCCGTCTTGAAGCCCTCTTGAGCCGTCCTGGGGCCATCGTGGCGGTGGCTTGGGCGCTCTTTGAGCCGTCTTGTACCGTCTTGGGGCCCTCTGAGGCGCTCGTGGGTCTGACTTGGGCCGTCCACGGCCGAACATGGCAGAACAATTTGCGACTCGACCTGGGCCCACACGGGAACGGACAGAGCTCTTCACGAACTTGCCCGAGATGGCTCATGACACATTGCGCTCCTGGAAGTCTTGGTGCTAAGAACATATTACGTTTCCGCTCTCTTTTGGGGGCCCTGGTGTTCAGAGACTTTTACATTGCCGCTCGCTCTTGGGAGCCCTGCTATTCAGAGCTTTCTACGTCACCGTGCTCTGGTGAGCCGTGGTGTTCAGAGCTTGTTACGTCACCGCTCGCCGTTACGAGCCATGGTGTTACTCGGCGGCTCTGGGGCATCTTGGGGGTCTTTGGGGAGCCCTTTGGGTGGCGGGCGCATGCGAGCGCAGCCACTGTGGCTTTCGGTGGAGCTCCCTCTGAGGGAGGCCACGAAACGTGTGAAGGGCGTGCCGAAAAGGGTGCGGCGGGCGCACGCGAGCGCTAGCAACTGGGGCCTTCGGTAGAGCTCCGTATGAGGCCACGAAATGCGTCAGAGGTGTGCCACATTGAAGGGGGCCACCGGAGAGGAAGGAGGGGGAGGAGGAGAGGGAGGAGGAGAGGGAGGAGGAGGAGGAGAAGGAGGAGAGGAGGAGATGCGGGGATCGCTCCTCAACGCGAGCACCACAGGATGGTTGGGAACAATACGGACATACACTTTGTGCCACCTCATCCCTGTCAGACAACCTTACGAACTCACGCAAACTCACACTTTGGAGCAACATCTTGGGTTATGCTCGTGGGCCCCGCGAACGCGTTGCATTTTCATTTGACCAGGACGGCGAGGGTGCCCTCATGTCTGTTTTGCAATTGCGAAAGGTCACTAGCCTGATACAAACAAATCATGCACTTCGCGGTCGGTTAAATCTGGATCATGCGCGGCCACCCCACGATCACTGTCCATTGGTGCTTGACCAAGACCGAGGGGAGATGACATACTACCGGCTAAATTCCGACCCACCAAACACCAAACACTATAATAACATTCCCGCCGCGATAGTGCACTGGTTTCCGACCAAGAAGGTGAAGGCCGATACGTTTTTCGATGTGTGCACCTGGCATACTCTGCGCGAGCCCTGGATGTGATGCACCTGGCGCGGCTCGACAATGCGCCAGACATGGCGCTCGTGGAGCACGTGGCATCTGGCGCGCGAGGCGTGCCTGGCACGCTTGGGCCCAAGGGGTGCTCAGCGCACCTGGAGCACCTGGCACGCCTGGCGCACCTCGCCCCGTCGGACACATGGGGTCTGTAGTGGTCCCCAGAAGCTGCCCATCCGTAGACGACCACGGCACATGCCGAGGCCAGGGTGCTACTTATGTGTTGGGAGGGCGGGTGGGGGTGAGCGAGACAGCTTGCGGGTGGGGAAGGTGCCTTCACCCCACCCCCGACCCGCTCCCTCTGGGTCTGGACGGGGGGGGTCGCGAGGTGTCAGGGGCGCTATTTCGGCCTCGCCGAGAATATCAACATCACTGATGATAGGGAGCTTTTGGCAACATGTTTTGGCCTCTTTGGGGAAGGGCAGGCCCTCACATATCATGGTCCCTGCTTTGATTGAGTTCCTCCAAGATGGCCCCACAATGGCCCCCGAGGCTCCCAAGGGCGCCCCAGGGCAGCCCCAAGAGGTGCCAACGAGACTCCAAGAGGCCCCCAAGAGCCCCCAAGAGGCCCCAAGAATGACCCAAGAAGCTCCCAAGAGGTCTCCTCATCTTTCTCCTCATCCTCCTTTCCCTTCCTTCTTCTCGTCCTCCTCTTCCTCCCCCACGTGTCCCCCGAATGGTTTCCACAACGGCAGGGGGGACGCATGATCCAAAAGCGTTGCCAAACTTTGCCCGACCGTTTGGCCACATATGCGTATCGTGAAAGGCACGGGGCGGCGGTGATCCGCCGTGGCCGACTTCGATCAGACAATGATATAAAGCAACGGCGGAGAGAGGCGGGGGGGGAGGTAACGAAAACAAGTGATGAGGAAGAGCACCGTGAAAATGCAAATGAACAGTATGAGGGCGACCTAGCAGACGGGAGGAAGGAGAACAAGCAAAAAGTGAAGGCGGCCTCCGATCCCTCCGGCTGCTCGTACTCCTGTTCCTGCTCCTGCTCCTGCTCCTCCTTCTCATCATCATCATCATCATCATCATCATCATCATCATCATCATCAGCATCATCAGCAGCATCCTCAGCATCACCAGCATCATCCTCATCATCACCATCATCATCAGCATCATCATCAGCATCAGCATCATCTACGTCAACATCCACGCCCTCCCTCTGCCCCTTGTTGCAATTGCTCGTCCCCCTACTGCACGCCCACATCGCACTCCACCACCTCCTGCTTCTCCTCCTGCTGTTGCTCCTCTTGCTCCTCTCGCTCCTATTGCTCCTCTTGCTCGTATTGCTCCTCTTGCTCCTCCGCCTCCTCCTCCACCTCCTCCTCCCTCGCGGCGTTCCGCCGTGATCCCTCTTCGTCCCTGTTGCCTCCGCTCATCCCCTCTTCCTCCTCGACCCTGCCTCCCTCCCTCCCTCCCCTGCTCCCTTGCCACCCCTGGGGGCTGCGCAGGGGGCGAGCAGCGCACGCAATTCGTCGATGGCGCCGCGGCAGAGGGGCCTCCTGGAGCGTGGCGGTGGCCCGCCATGTCGCTGCCACCGCCACCGCTGTCGTCGTCGCCGCTGCCGCCGCCCGCGTCGTTTTCGTTGTCCTGCTTCTCTTCACCTTCTGATTTTCCCGGAGTCCAGAAAGGCGTGAGGGTGCAAACCCGAATCGTCTGGCCAGTGCTCTGGGGAGCGGGCCCAGGGGAGGCCGCAGCACCCCTCAACGATGTGCTGTCAACCAAATCTGCAGGGTACACCCTTACAATGTTCCTGAGCATTTGAACTTTAGTTTCGGCTTCAATATGGGCGCACCGTGAAACAACTTCGGGCCAGCTCACGCGAGTGTGGGTTTTCCGTTCGCACGGGTGCTCCCCCCCTCCCCCGATCCATACCGTAGCACCCCGCAGAAGCGGATAAGAGTGAGGAGGCGGTGGGGACGCCGGCAGTTTGCGAGACTCTGGAGAAGCCCGCCGCAAGCGCCAAAACTTCACAAATCAAACAACGAGCCCGCCGCAGGCACCGATTCTTCGTTAAACCAATGTGGGCAAGTCGTGGGTGGGTCGCAAATGGGTCGCGGGTGGGTCGCGGGTGGGGCGCTGATGGGTCGCGGGCGTAGAGGGCAGAAAGTCTACCCCATAATCATCACCCAGACAAGCGAAGCCGCTGAATAAACACACAAAGAATGAATCGAATAGGGCCGAACTGTTTAGTAGACGCCCAACGCCGTTTAGTAAACGCCAATTGTCGGGTCCAGGTGGTTTCTCCTCCCTTGAGGGTGGGTCGCGGCGTGGGTCGCGGGGTGGGTCGCGGAGTGGGTCGCGGGGTGGGTTGCGGGGTGGGTTGCGAGGTGGGTCGCGGGTGGGACGACGACAAAATAAGACTAACAGCAACAACAACGCAACAGGCAGAGTTCTCACTACAAATTCTTCGTTCAGCCACGCACCCAGGGACAATGAATGACCGTTCGGCCCCCTCACTCTGATAAGCAACTCATCCTCGTCGCGCCACCCGTGTGGCGCGAGGGCGGGCTGGGAAACCTGCATTCCCCCACAGTTGCACGGATGAAAACGCCCGTTGAATTCTACATGAATCCCGCGCGAATGCCGCGCACATTCGCCAAAGCAGCAAATCCCAACAGGTACAACGTGGTCAAAACTCTGCCTGATCCTCGGCGCCGCACACGTTGGCGCCTCAACGCGAACCACTAGCTAGGTATATGCAGCCCACATAATAATCAAACCACGTCAGTCCCGATCCTGCGTCTGCTTCGCTCCCGTATAAACAACTATATATATATATATATATATATATATATATATATATAAAAATATGTCTACGTACAGGTGCAACTTATGTGTATAAAATGTACATGTATGTATGCATATGAATGTATGTATGCACGTACGCATGTGTGGGTGTATGTATGCATTTATGTATGTATGTATGTCTGTATGTATGTATGTATGTAAAGACCTGCATGGATGTATGCATATGTGTGCGAGGGGCACCCAAAGATGCCAACTCTGTTATTTGCATCGGCGAATTCCACGTGAAGACATTAACCTGGGCTCGCAAGGTCGGCGGCCGCCAGAAACTCGCGAACGGCACTGGCGCCCCTGACGAGGGCACTCGTGTCAGCAAGAGCCCCCAGAGGCGTCTGTAGAAGCCGCAACGTAGACCGCAGGTGGGAGCAATACCGGGAAAGCGTGGAAGCGCGCGGCACGGCGAACGCCAGCGCTGCCAGCGCTACCCGGTCAGGCGGCCACTCCGGCACCTCCGTCGCCGCCGCGAGTTTGCCCCACAAGCGGATGGCGGACGCATGCCGCGCCCCACTCTGTCTCCAGTTCTCCCATTCCTGAAGCAACAACTGGTTTCGTAGAGTGGGAGCGCGCGTCTCCGCAGGGACTTGCGCCAACCAAGTTACACGACTTGATGGAAGAGCCAACTCCGCAGCGACGGGCGGCAACAGAGGACCATCCACTCTGCATGCAACAGAAATGGCCCGAGCAAGAGCCTCTGCTGGCGGCGCCATTCTCTGGGCACGCGCCTGCGCCAATACTTCAATGGCCGCCGAAACTTCGCCAGCGGTAGGCCCCGCGGACCGCCCTGCCAGCGTCGGCGCCGGCACGCTGCACTCCTCCGCCAGCCTGCACCGTTTGGCGCCGCTGGCAGCACGGGCATGCGCAGGCGCAAGTGCAAGTGCTGAACTACGACACCTGGACGCGCGCCAAATCACTGCCCGCAGAAGCTCGTCGGATAGCCCAGCTAGCGGGGGCCATATTCCCCGCAACTCGTCCAGCGCCGTGCCGTGGAAGTCGCCCCCGTGAACCGCGCCGTTGTCTGCCAAAGCTTGCAACACTAGGTTGGCCGACGGCGGGTGGCGCGACGGTGGTGCCCCAGCCAGAACGCTGTTGAACCACTCACTGAGGTCTGACGGGATCTCCACGCCCTGCACGCAAGGCTGTTCCTCGTCGCCCCGGCAACGGCGGCGGGAAGCATTGATGAACTGCAAGGCCATAGCAAAACGCATGGGCCCCCGCGGCTACTGACAGGCCCGCCCCAAGGCCGCCACCACCCGTCGCTGCGGCGCGGGTCCCCACGCGCGCTGTTCGTCGGTGCAGATACCTGTTGGGCCATGAAGGGGTCCCCATTGGACTCCTATTGGTGCCTGCAGCGTCAGAAGCCTGCCTACCAAGAACACAATGAAGAGACAGAAACACACAAAGACACTGGGTTGCCCAACTTGCTGGGGCAACCGCTGGGGCAACTGCTGGTGCAACCAGTAGGGGCGACCACAACGCAGACCTGCCGGGGCAACTGTTGGGGCCACCGTCAGGGTCCAGGGGAACCCGCCGAAAGCGCCAGAACCCCCGGGCCTCTGGGGCGCCCACGCAGGTATCTTTTTGCACTCGCAACAACTTTCTCACCGCAGCTCGTCCCGCACCCCGCACTCTGGCCACTGCCATTGGGTTTCCTTGAAACCCAGCTCGAATAAAACATCAAGCTTTGCAGGGTCTTCGTGGGCGCGAGACGGGGCGTCTGCTAAATTTTGGGCCGACGGCACTCTGAACGGACAGAGAATGTCGGCTCGCTGCGCCGCAGCAAACCAGATCGATGTCACTAACGCGTTCCAATCGACCTGCCTCGACGTGCCCCTGACGAGCGCGCCCAGCGCTGGATTGGAATCCACGAAAAGAAAATTTCCAGCGCCTGTGGCAATTGCGAAAAAGCGTGCCATAATCCACACACCGCGGCTATCAGCTCCCACGTGCCGATTTGTTGTCGGCGCGGCTTCACCCTAGTGCGAAGCCACTGGGGCACCCACGCACGAGCAAAAACTTTAAAATCATCGTGCGCCAGCACCCACGCGAGAGCCCCACACCCCGCTGCATCGGTATACAAAATGACACGCGGACGCAACGATGGCGCATAGGGAATTGCACGGCGAGGCTCCGAATGCAGAAAACGCAGCCACCATTGCAGAGCACGGCGCAAACGCGAAGACAGCCTCGAGGATCGCCGCGCCGAATGGTGAAACAAAGCTGCGAGGTAAACCCTCGCGCTTTTGCCAAACACCATAGTCGCCCCCCAGCTCAATTTGCCAGCCAGTTTCTGCGCCGCTGCTGGTGTGAGCACGCCTGCAGCTAGGATTGCTTCAATTTCCGCAACCCATTGAGAGCATTTCGGAATTGGCACCGTGAACACGAACTGCTCTCCTTCTTCATCCAACACGACGTGGATGCCGAGAACAGTTGCGTCGCTGGCAGCTGTGACGCTCTTGGCCTCGTCCAATTGCCACCCAAGCAATCCCTGCGCGACTTCGCGCGCCAGGACGGCGGTGCCTGACGGCCCTGTGAGGCTGGTGTCATCTGGCGTTTCACGATCAATGCTGAAGAAATCATCCACAAAGCGCGGATAGAATATGCGAAAAAGGTGCGCCAGCACGTGCTGGATCGCAAACCCCACGCGGCGCCAGGAGTGCACACTTGAAAGCGCCCCAAATGGGCAGGAGAAAAGCTGCAACGCGACGCCTGTGCACGCCGTGTCTTCTGTAACAGCCACAGCATACGGCAAGTGCACTGTCCGTATGGGCAAAATTTTATACGCGCCGACAACGTCATCCTTCCGCAAGCGCAGCGGCCCGGGGCTGTTCTGCCGGACAAGTTGGTCTACCGCAACCAAAGTGTCAAGATCATCATAACATATGCGCTCCGACACCTGGGTAGCTTCGTTGATTCCCGAGGCGTGGAAATCATCAATGGCGCGGACTGCCCGGACAACAGCGCCGCGCTTCACTTTCCAACCTTCGTCTACTCCAAAGCGGGGGAAGCAAACGACGTCGTCTAAAGCGGCGGACAGTGGCACCCACCTTGCTTTGCCTGCTGCGACCTCACTCTCGGATTGCGCACGCAAAGCTGCGGCCGCTTCTTCATCTATCAAGGTAGAAGAAGCAGCCCTCAAAATCAGCTTTGCGTTGGTCGCGGGAGCGCGCGCCCACAGCAAGTCCAAAGGCAAAGGCGCGTCAGGTGCACATGTTGGCAGCGTGCCGCTCGGAGGAATCACCCCGGTCAGCTTAAAACCCGGTGCCACATCTGCCACTAATTCGGCGTCAGAATGCCCAGATGCCTCCAGCATCTCTGCCAGCAACAGCAAGTTCTTATCCGGACCTAGAACAGCTTGCACGTGCTGTGGGAGCTTGGTAAACTCCCATTGCCATTCTCTGTCCGTCACACGCTTGCGCTCGCGCCAGAAAGCTAAAGCAGAAGCGCGGAAATCATGCAGGTCGCGCCTGGGCCCGCACTCGGAGAGGGCGCTCGAATGCGTCTTTCCGCGCAGGCGCAGAGTACCTGCACAAGGCGGGAGACCGCGCGCCCAATCTATGTGATGGCTCGGTGCCATGCAGCTAAGTCTATGTACATCTTGCAGCAAACTGTTCACTTCAGCTCGCAATTCGTCAAAATCGGTGGCAAATCCACTCGCATTCAAAAATGTGCCCGAGGGATCCTCGGACGATTC